CCAAAACATCGTGATGGATTCCTTGGGTTCGAAAGCCTGGTAGCAATCGGAAAGGTCGACTGCTTCTGCCTCATTGACTTGAACCAAGTTGCCAGGAAGGGTTTCCCCATCCTGTATGGCCGTCAAAACTGCTTTGGCTGTGGTGAGTTTGGGTGCGAGAAGCCATTCACTGGTAATGAATGCTTGCACTTGCTTGGCTGTTGCCTTATGGCCCGGTTGCAGGGTAACCTGTCTGTGGGTTTGTGCCAAAGTGGGCCATTGATTATCTGTGGAGTTGCTTTGCCAATGTTGCTTGGACGCGGTGGTGGTGGTCCACTGCGCTTGCTGCTTCGGTTGGCCCCAGGGGTGGGTAGCTCCACCTGGGTTGCCTGCTGGTAGTTGTTCAACAGGCCATTGCTGTATTGTGTGCTGGGTACTTGCTGTAGCTGCTTTGTTGCCCGTAGTGTCCTTGTGTCCATGAAGCTCAAGGACACGTAGAAGTGATGTTGCTAGACCGGCCTCAGGAATCATACCGAGGCGGATGGTTCTGGTGATGGCCTCCACTGACTCCAACAGAGTGCAGTCATTTGTGGATGTGCTTGGCTGCTGTTGTTGTTGCCGGCGTCTGGTGGTAGCTGATCCGCCGGCTCCGCCAACCCAGCTGTGATTGTTGGTGGCGGTGTTGTTTGCCGACACTTGTGTTGGTACAAGTGCACATACAGTGGAAGGACGGCGTTGCGGCCGCACATGTGGTCGTCTCACCATTTGTTGGGTGAGGACTGCTTTGTGACGCAGTTGCCAGCGTCGATGTTTTCTGCTGTTGATTCGTTGCCGAATACTTCGTGGTTGTTTGTGTCTTGCTTTGCCACACCTTCTGGCTGCCAGAAGGTATTTGCCAAGAGTCCTCCTGTGTGGCCGGAGGCGTGGCTTGTTGGGGTGTTTGCGACGACGCCGTTTGCGGCGGTGAATGCCTGTGCGGTAGACTGTGGCTGTAGACGTCATAAGCAAGAGGCCAAGGGTGGCGATGACCACCTGTGTGTTGACCTGTGGTTGCTCGGTGTCGTCATTGTGTGCCATGTTGTCCCAGTGTAGTGGAGGGTGGCTGAAATTGCCGCTGCCTGGGTCGAAAAGAATGCTAGCTCGGTGAGCTCGAAGGTCTGCCAAAATGGTTTTCCTACAAAAGTAATGTGCATCGAATTGCTGAGATTGTGCATGCGTTGCATTGAATGCATGCTGTGCTGTTCTTTGTCCTGGGCCAAGGGGGTCCAGGGACAAAGGGTGAAAGTCCTGCCATGGGTCAAAGTTAGCCATGGTCATGGATGGGTGTGTTGCATTTGCCTGCCATGGGTCACCGTTAGCCATGGTCAGACAGCAAAAGCTTATAGTACTGAGTAGCCACTTCCAGGACCTTAGTTGCCTGATTGGTAGAATGCTGTCAAGTTTCGCACCGCGGCCTCCCCCGCGGCCCGCTGCCACCACGCTGGAGGTTCTTGAAGGGCAGCCCCATACTGTCATGAATTATTTCGGTTTTTAAGACTGCTGTAGCTTGCCTTCAGGCCCTGCTTGAGCCGTCAGGGTTCTAACAGCAAACTTTGGAGGGCCCTTAGGCCCTAAGCCTTAGGCCCAGTTTGCTAAATGCTGCCCCTTGTAGACCTGCCTGGTCCAAGGGGAAAGTTCTGCATGCCGTTGGAGCCAAAGTTGGCCAACAGTAGCGCTCACGGCATAAAGATTTCTAAGGTCATTTGGAAGAAAAGGCCAACCAAACCGCCTTTCCAATTCATCTGCAGGTGCGCTGGCAGTCAAACGCTGGTTGCACTCCGAAAGAATATGATTTTGATCTGCAGGGTTCAAACTGCACCACAAGCACTTGGCGTACTGCTGGGAACATCACGGCGTTTCCCAACAGCTGCTGGGCTAATCACACTTCCCAACAACACTGCTAGCTGAGGTCCTTGGGATTTCCTGGCGATCCCTGGCACCATTCACACGTTCACTTGAGTATTGTAAATTCCTGAACTTTCAGCATCACGACGTTTGCCTCTGCCAAGCTGTTGTCACAGGTTGTGGCGCCAACCTTCGCCCAACAAATGGCTCAACTTGTGTTTGAAGGAGGAATCACGAAACTCTTCCAATTTCCATTGCAGGTCAAGCTGACGATGTTGCCAGGTGTGCTCCTGGAAACCCATCCGGTGGCAAGTAGAAACTTTTGAGCATGCTGTGCCAAAATGCTGACCTCATGCATATCTGCAGACCACTGTTCTGACCAAGCTCTTTTGCCGTAGAGAAGGACCTGCCGAATACCAATCACCACATCCAAACTTGTGGTTCCACCTGAGGAAACATTTCCAAGTTAAGTTTGGAACATCAATTCCAAGCCAAAGGCAAAACAATGCATAGCAAACAATGCAAACATCTGGCAATGCAGCCTTGTTTGTATTGCTCAATGAACGCATTGAATTTTCATCATTTTGTTGCCGGATGTTACCAGAAGGATCTAGAAGATCTTGAAGATTTGCATGACCCCATATTGGTTCGCAATGGTTTGAACAAGGGCAATGCGGCAAGAAGAAGTGGCATGTGTGTTTTCCCTTAATGGGATTCCAATGTTCTGAAAGGATTTGGATCCCGAGACGCAGGGCGCAGCATGTCACCTAGCTGCTAATGTCAGCTAATGTCAGAGTTACACGGTTGCCCAGTTTGCCCCATCTTAATGTCTCCTGCCGTCTCTGGCTTGTCTGTCTGTCGTGGCTTCAGGCTTAACTTTTTCTAGCAGCTTACCGTCCATGTACCTGGGTGATCCTGCGAATTTGTTCTCCCAGTTTGTCTCTGGCCGTTTCCCTCTTTTGATAAATTGGTTCGTCATGGTTTGGAAATGCTTGGCAAGCATACTCTTATAGCATCCCCGTGCGATTTTTCTCCCAATCGGTTCCAACTTGCCACGTTTCTGCATTGCTTTGACTTAATATATATATATCTCTCTCTCTCTACCAATGTTGAAAGCTTCACTGACTTAGCTCGCGGAGGAACTTTGTGGTCGCAGCCTGCACAAGGCCTCGTTGAACGGTGAAGAAACCAAGGTTTGTCACGGAAGTCTCGTGAGGACTCGTGCATTCTTGGATGCTGCTGTTCCAGGTTTTGCTGCAACCAAGGCTGCCTTCTGCACAGACATCATGGTCGGTTTCACGAATCAACAGCTACTCAAATAGAGCTACAGTAAATAGTTCAAGGATGTTCAATCAAGCAACCATTCCGCTGCACAATCAATCAACCAATCAGTATAACTAATTAAGTATATAGTTACTGAGTCAGTTAGTTAGTTAGCCCGTCAACTGTCAACTCATCATTTGCCATAAGTTGATCAGTGAGCAAAGACAGCAGTTAATCGTATATGCCCGATCAATTACTCAATCAATAATTGACCTGAGAATCAGCCAAACGAAACACAAAACCAACGTCCTTCCAATATGGTCCCTCTTTCCTGCAAACTTCATCACTGTCTGGTTTCAACAGCGCTGCGGCAAAGGGAAAGAGCAGCCGTTGTGACTTCCGGACGAGAGAGGACCGAGATCCAACAATGATGCTTCAAAACCGCTTCCGCATGGACACTCAGGCTTACAAGCGGACCTATGGATGTGAGACCAAAATTGCCCAAATTGATCCAAAATGCGGGTAAGGACGCGCACGAAATCAAAAAGCCAAAAGGCACCAGAAGGCAAACAAAAGCACACTGCCGCCAACGGAAGGTGCATAAAGACAGTCCCAACCACTGCAGCAAACCAACAAAGCCAGAGCTAGCTGAGCCGAATCTACGGAGCATACGCTGAGGCTTGGCCAACTACCTTTGAATGATGCTACCTGGGTGCAAATTCATGTTTCTGTTTGAGTCGGCAAGTCGATCATGTCTCCAGCATCAAATTTCATGCTGAACTGGCAAAGTAAAGGTGAGAGCGGCAACACAGCACGAACCGCAAAAGAGCCAACAAAGCTGGAAAAATTGCAAGGCACCATGCAGGGAAACCAAGAATCCCGAGAATGGAAAACCAAGGAAAACCTGCATCAACTTGTGTCTGAGTAGCAAAGTAATTCCTCGCATTTGAACACCCGTGATCAGTCATCTTTTTTTGCCAGGGCCTCCAGAGGTTTTGCCCTACACTTCGCCAATGCTTTGCAAAGGCCGAAGCACACATCACAAGGAGATCATAGGAGACTGCTATGAAGCCGACAAATTCAACAACACTACACATCTCGCGCCTCTGTTACATCCTTTGGCCATGCTCTGCTAAATCCATTGAACATGTTGGGAATTGTGGGGCCATATGGCGGTCCATGCCGAAGATGCTGTGATCGATTCACAGAGCGTAAGTGGCGCCTGTCCATGAGGGTGAGGGACATAGCTGTGGGAGCTGGATTAGCCTCGTGGCTTTCTGAATTCTATCTGTAGGACTGGTTTTGAAGAGGACCCTTCCTCGAATAGTTGTAAGCGCTTCTTTAGCCACTTGATGTCGTCGCTCTGCTTTGCGTGTTCCTTTGCGTTGGCCTTCGGCTTTTCAAGCATGATCTCGCACTCTTGCGATGTTCCAAGCGTGTCTGCAGACCCTCAAAACGTTGCCCATGCAGTAGTAGGTTAGAACAAGTCAACTGGGTCAGCTGCTGCTCTGATGTCTGCAAGGTAGCGGAACAAGGGATCATCTGAGTCAGCTGGATGGGATGTGGCTACCTGACTACCGGCCTTGCTCGCGATTCCACACCAGCAAGGAGAACCAGGGCATGATCCAGGTGACTTCCAACTTCGACCAAACGCATCCTTTTTGCCATACGTCTAGCAAATCCCACACACGAGATGAGCTTCTGCTCGGATGATGCCATGGCAGGACAAAAGTAGCTACAACGTGCCCAGAGGGCCTCGTAACCAAATGGCTTGAGCCGTAGCCTTGAGCCAAAATGGAAGCCGGCAATCCGCATGAATAGGCGGGAATGTCACAAGCACAGAAGCTAGATTTGCTAAATGCAGCTTGAGCTTCAAATGACCACATCAATGCCTTCAAGCACGTGGCCATCATGCGAACCAGCTTCTGCAGTTCCCGAAGAGTGCGAGTCTTCCGAAGCAGCCGGGATAAGCGAATGATTCTCATGATGCGAAGAATGCGTAGAAGACCCACAGATTCGAACATGCCATCCACCACGTCGCTCAGGATTATCTCCACGAAACCGCATACCACTACCGCGATATCAACTTGGACCTGTCATCTTTAGCAGCTACACAGGACATCATCAAAAACGCAGTGTGCTTGTTGGACAGTTTTTGAGGTACCACTTACCAGCGCAATCCCTGCATCGCAATCTAGGAGTAACACTGCATTCTCTCCCTCTCCCTCTCCCTCTCCCTCTCCCTCTCCCTCTGCCCCTCCCGCTCCCGCTCCCGCTCCCTCTCCCTCTCCCTCTCCCTCTCCCTCTCGCTCTCTCTCTCTCTCTCTCTCGCTTTTCACGGTCTCAATGAATTCAGCTGGCAGTAGGGCATTGTTAGGTACAATAGGATACAATATTGTTTGTGCATGTTCTGCCACAACGATGAAGCGGAAACAACAGTTGCCTGCTGCAGTTGCACAAGCTTCCTGTGCAACCCAATCAGGAGGCGGTGATAGGACACAGGCACAGACCTTCTTGCATGTGTTAAGCTATTCCGGGGCTGACGGGGTGGGCTTGAGACTTCAGAGGCAGTTTGGCAAGCTGCAAAAAGGGTGATTGGGAAGCAAAAGTTGTGCTTAATTGCGACACTAGTTTTGGCAGGGAAGTAACATATATATACAGTACGATGAATCGAAGGCTATTTGTCATTTTGTCAAGTGATATTGGGTGCACCAGCAAGAATACGTGTGAGCGTGTTGATGCTTGCGCGTACGGATATGAGCTTATATATACATATATATATATATATCTCTCTCTCTCTCTCTGTCTCTCTCTCGCTCTTTCTCGATCTGTCTTTATCACATTGTGTACGATGTTCCACAGCGGCAGAATGTTCACTTCAATGCATGATCTTAAGCCCGGCTGGAGAGTAGACATAAACGATCATGTCGACGGTATGAAAGCTGAAAACCGTGTCGATAGCTGTGGAAGTTGCACAGCTGTGAGCGTTGCAGCCATGTTGTGCCATGCTGTAATTTCTCCAAGGCACTACCCAATCCTTTAATAGCACCCATCCAGAAACTAGAAAAAACATGGCCAGCTCCAAGGTATACAAAGCCAAGCACACATCGGAAATCGTCTGGGCAACAAGCCCAGCCCGTTTCCCTTCGGCTCTTGCATCAATGTCCCAGCATGTGCAATAGGCATCGATCAATACCACCACAGCCATTGCATTGGTGAAGTATTTGCCTCAGTTCTGCAGTTTCCGGATCCGGAATGCTGATCCGGGGTCGCTAATCTCCTGCTCCAACATCTCCAACCATCTTCACCCCTCACATTGTTTCCAGCAATCAAACATGGCTATAGCAGGGAAATCACCGAACTAAAAAATGGTATATAATTATAAAAAATGGTTTTAATAAGTTTCAATGGTAAAATCATCGGGCATCATCGAGCTAAATGCGCTAAATGGGGGAAGTTCTAGCAAGCCATCTTTGATTGCCAGAGGGCAAACATGTAGAACATAATTTTCACCATATAGGTTTGATCTTTTTAAACCCATTTCAAGCAAGGCTCTTTGGAGGATTGTCGCGGACAAGACTTTCATCTTTCCAAGCAGTCCAATCCCATCGCCTGCGTCGAGTTTGGCCGTCTTGGCTTTGATGAAGTTGCTGTTGACTGCCACACTCTTCCTCAGGGAGAATGATGGAGGATGTGTCCAACCAAACCCGAAAACTGAGGTTGAAAGATGTTCAAAGATGTTCAAAGCTTCGCAAGTACCGAAGCCTTGTGATCCCAAAATATTTTTTTGGACATCTCCAATAATTATTCAAAATCACAACCCAGACTAGACCTACCATCTCAAGATTTCCTCCCTGTGCTCCTGCCACTACTCATGCCGCTCTTTTTCTTGGAGCTCTCCGACACGCTGCGGGTGCTTGAGTAGCTTTGCATCCGAGGGGTAGAATCCGCCCTAAGGGGAACACTGCCACTGCCACTGGCTTCGTCATCTGCCATGGCCGAAAAATGATGGAAACTGTATCAAAATACCGTCACATATCTGGAATTGAATGGAATTGACGTGGAAATCTGCAGGTTGGCACCACGACCTTGCAATGCATCCTTCTGTGGCCAAGACATTGACGCGCTTTTCTTTTCTGCCCAAACACTTGACTCACGATATGCTGGAGCCAAAATTGATGCAGCGCGACCTGTTTTCACAGCCGTTTGACATCTTGACATCTTTTGACTCTGCAATACGTCATGCTATCAAAACAAAGCTGATAGGAACTGGAATAGCCTTGCAAGACTGCCGCGCACGCCAACCTGTTCGATCATGTTATTCATTTGCAGGTCAGAGCCAAGATGAGCTATTTAAGTGAATCTGCATCCTTACAACTTGCAACCAAAGTATCAATGCCGGAATTCTCCTGAAAATCGATCAACTCATGCTTGGGATCTTCCACTACCTCAGACAGTGGCTTGAGCAGCCCGCTACCTTGTGCACCACCGAAGCAGGGACCGTGAAATGAAAGTGGCCAGGCGCACTTTCAACGATCCAAGATGATCCAAGACTCCAGTTGCGGTTGCCTAGTGTTACCTTACACTTGAATCCTACTGGTATAACTGATAAATACATATATATATATATAATATATACACATGTATGTATATATATATATATACATTATATTGTACATATATATATATATGTATATGTGTATATTTATTATTATTGTCATTATTATTATTTATTACTATTATTGTTATTCTTATTTTATCTTTATATATATATACGTATATATAATTCCTTTTTTGCATCCAAGCAGCAGGCGTTGGTGGTGGAGTGGGGCTGGTCTGCAAGATTTTGCGAACCTCTTGTGATACATTCTTGAGCGCCTGCGATCCTGTCGCACTTCCAATCGTGAATCATAGTGAATACAGCTGGAGTTTTGGTCAGCTGAAGTCTCAAGCCTCACACATCACAAGCCAACATGGGTCCTTGTTCGTTAATCGCCTTGTCCACATTCCCACAAATCAGAGCCTGTGCGCGCTTGACTGGCATAGAATTCCACATAAATACCAACCATTGCAAGATTGTAAGATTGCAAGACATGTGCGAAGTTCCAGGCAACCAGCGATTTTCCCCAACAACGTCAGCTAATGGGGTCTTCAGCCCAGAATAGCTCCGGTGTGCACTGATGCAGGCGCCGGGTCAAGTTCAACGAGGTTCCGGAGAAGGTTCCAAATGTTCTGGAGAAGGTCTGCAGGGCTTTGGTGCAGAGCCAGGTCAGGTACAACAGGGTTCCGGAGAAGATTCCGGAGAAGGTTCCGGAGAAGGGGGAGGCTTTGGTGCAGAGCCAGATCAAGGTTCAACAGGGTTCCGGAGAAGGTTCAGAAGAAGCTTCCGGGAAGCCTTGGTGCAAAGCCAAGACAAGTTCAACAGGGTTCAGAAAGTTCCGGAGAAGGTTCTGGAGAAGGTTCCGGAGAAGGTTCCGGAGAAGATCGGAGGCTTTGGTGGAGAAGGTTCCGGAGAAGGTCTGGGAGGCTTTGGTGCAGCGCCAGGTCAGGTTCAACAGGGTTCCGGAGAAGGTTCCGGAGAATCTTCGGAGGCTTTGGTGCAGAAACCAAAATCCGGTTCAACAGGGTTCTGGAGAAGGTTCCGGAGAAGGTTCCAGGAAGCCTTGGTGCAAAGCCAAGTCAGGTTCAACGGGTTAACTCACGAGCTGAAGTGTTTCCAGCGTTTGACTTCCCAACATGGTTCAGAAAAAATTGTGAAAAATAAAACGTTGCGGCTGTTGGGGATACCACCGAAGCTTATTCTGTGTGATGCACTGATTTTTCAGAATCCGATTGAGTTGAGTTTCCGGTCCAGAGATTTTCAGAGCGGTAGATATCCATGGAGGCTTTGTGTGATTCTCAGAGCGGTAGATACCCAAGTTATCAAACAGACTCAGAAAATCCCAGAAATCTCTGAACAACTCAGCCCTGTGACCGTCAGCCGCGTGTTGATGATTTTGTCGATCAGTGGCTTCAGGAATTCTAAGACCATGGAAACTTTCGAGCCCGAGAAGTGCAGGTCAGCCTAGACGGCTTGCACGAAAATGTTCGAAGTCTGAAGATGGGGTACACCCGACACTTATACACTTATACAACATACAAACAGCATCTATAACATACAAACAGCATCACAAAGCTAAGGATTTTCCATGAATTTCCAATTGTTTCCCCTTCGGAGATGATCTACATGGTGGGTTTTCGATGGATGTTCGATATCTATGTTAGCTTGCTGGAGGGTATGGAATGAGGTACCCTATTCTCAAACAATCCCAATACGAAGAACAACGAGGGCCAGCGATTCAAGCAGCCTAGACATGCCAGGACTGACCACGGATCATCACGCCTGGATAGAGCCACCACAGTCGTGGGTGTTGATGGCTTTGGGAAGCGGCGGCTGCAAAGAATCTGAAACCTGCAGGGGTCACACCATGTCACACCCCCAGCACTACGAAACATGTCGCATTTACGTATTTCATGAAGAGATTTGCCAACAGTACAATGGACGTGCTTGAGCCTCTGACTTCCGCAACCTACCACACAACCCTCACGGATCCATGTCACTGAGGATCTAGCAATGTCAATGGGGCCACCAATGGAAGAATCCTTCACCTGAGCCACCACCTTGGTGGCCAATCTTGGCAGGGCAGTTGAACTCCTCTAACAGCCGCCGCTCAGCCTGAGCCGCCTGAGCCTCTTGCATCACCGGAGATGTCTGGCAACGCACTTGCAGCAGACCACTGGAGCCGACAGGAAATTTCCAGACCAGACGCCTTAGCGCTGAACTATGCGTAACTGCTTTGCAGATCATCTGCTTTAAGCACAGTTATTAAGCACAATTGCACGTATCTGTGTATCTGTCACCAACTTGGATACAAAAGCGATCTGCAAACGCAATTACACGATTCTTCGAGTGTGAGTTCTAGCACCGTAGGAAACAACTCTTTTAAAGCAAGACTCCGAACTGACAATTAATTTCAATGAGACACAGGCACGAAGATTCTCACAACCGATTCAACCAACTACAGTTACTTCTGCTATCTATGAGGTGGCATGTTTTAGTCTACAATAGAAAGTGAGTGGAACACCCAAGGTGTCTGGAACTCTGAACTAGAACCTCAAACGCAGGCAGTGAGGAAGGGACACACAGGAAACAAAAGAAATTCGTGTTCAGACTTTGAAGGCCGATTTTGCGCTGCCCCTGTACGCCTATATTTTTTGACCTACCGTAATTCAACCTGTCTATAGATTCTATAGCAAATCACATGTGCTTTAACTTTTTAAATGGGTAAATCATCGCTCACAAGTGGCTTATTCTCCGTAGCTGTATTAAATTACCATAGGATGAGTTTACCCACATGTTTACACCGTACCTACGGACATTCTCCTACATCCATTCGCAGCCGCTGCAGTTCGCCAAAGGCGCGGTGATGCTGAGGCCAGACATCCGGGTCTCAGTGTCGATCTTTGCAATCTTGAAGTGCGTGCACAAGCCATTGGTAATGGTGAAATTGAAACCACCTGGGATCCGACAAGCGCAAACCAGCCACAAACCGACCACGAAACCGCTTAACCGCTGAATTACCCCTTTTTTTTGAGTCCTGGATGCCTTTTTGATACTTCAACTTTGCGGGTGACATGGGTGCTTCTGGTATGCTCATTGTTTATTGATGAGCGCTCCAATCAGTAGAATGATATGGATGGGCAGGTACTCTGTTTGAGAAGGGAAACATCGGCCTTCGACATGGGTTTGGTCTGAAAATAAGATACCCTCAAATCCCGTGGGCTATTGATTCTATCTTATCTCTCTATCGCCTTTAGCCAAAGTCTGCATCAGCCTCTCCGGAGGGCAAATGCCAGCGCTCTTCTCTTGCTGCTAATGTTTATGAATCCAAAAAAATCATGATCCCAAAACAGAAGAATTTGATGGGTATATATGGGGGAATCCATTTATGATATGGTTATATGATGGTTTTTATGATATGGGTATATCGGTATATCCTTAAGAAACAGCCAACTTTTTTCCGTGTCCATGTCCCGGTGAAATCTCTGGCCTTTGACCTCACTGATGTCAGGAATTTGGAGCTGCAAATTCCAAAGCCATTCTTCCAGCCAACTCCTGGGCATCGGCATCTAACCGTTAAACGGACAATACAAATACAACAGTAATACATACATACAAATATATATATATATTATTATATGCATATAGTATGTATGTGTATATAAATATATAATAACATGTGTATCTCTCTCTCTCTTGTGTGTGTCTGATTCTGTGTGTGTTACATTGAACCATATATAATCATATCTATTCTGTTCTGTCATTTATACTCATATACATACTATATGATATACATATATAATACAATAGATGTAATGTTGTACAAATAGGAGTATGCACCGGCAGCATCAGCAGCCCCATCCCTCGCTTCAGCAATTTCTTCGGCCGTGAAAAAGCTGCAACGTCAAAAGCAACATACATAACATAACACACCATCCGTACAGGTTCAATACAATCAACTCTATATCAGCAGTTCTCAAGTTCAGGACACAATGTTCATCCATACCTAATAGTTTGCCAAGGTACTTGGGTGAGCCAAGGATCAGCTCGTGCTGGCTGTCCTCAGTTTTGGTGCACTTTCTCAGCACATTGCGCCCTCATATGATTCATATGACTGGGTATAATTTACATTAGACGGATTATATTAAGATATATTGAGTAATACTTACTACTATTATGCTAACTATTGCTAACTTAAACCAAAGGACTGGATAACCCCACGAGGCAACTTCTTCCAATAATGAGCACCAAATGTTGTAGGGGACGGGGAAGGAAGGAAAGACAAAGGAGGTGATGGAGGACCGAGAAGTAAAACAAAGTTGTGTGTGACAAAGTTGTATGTGAAAGATGGCGTGTGACAAAGAAAGATGGTGGGTGCGCGTGCGTGTGTGACAAAGTTGGGTGTGAAAGATGGTGTGTGTGTGTGTGAAAATTGTGTGTGAAAGAGAGCGTGTGCAAAGTTGTGTGTGAAAGATGGTGTGTGAAAGAGAGCGTGTGCAAAGTTGTGTGTGAAAGATGGTGTGTGACAAAGTGGTGTGTGAAAGATGGTGTTTCAAAGATGGTATGTGAGAAAGTTGGGTGTGTAAGTTGGTGTGTGTGTGAAAGATGGTGTGTGAAAAAGGGATGTGAGACAAAGATGGTGTGTGGAAGATGGTGTGCCAAAGTTGTGTGGGAAAGATGGTGTGTGTGAAAGATGGTGTGTGAAAGATGGCCTGTGACGGTGTGTGAAAGATGGTGTGTGACAAAGTGGTGTGTGTGAAAGATGGTGTGTGACAAAGTGGTGTGTGAAAGATGGTGTGTGACAAAGTGGTGTGTCAAAGATGATGTGTGACAAAGTTGTGTGTGAAAGATGGTGTGTGACAAAGTGGTGTGTGTGTGTGTGTGAGTGAGCAGACGGGCGGCGGAGGAGGAGGAGGCGGCGGAGGAGGTGGCGGAGGAGCAGGGTGGTACAGAATCAAAAACCACCCGGCGGACTCGAAACCGACCTACAAAAATTGTCAAATTGCTCACGCAGCGAGACGCCAACTTTGAGAATAAAAACGTCCTCCAAAAAAACAGGTCCTTCTAGTTTCCACGTGTGCACCCTCACAGCACTTTTGCCCCAAAAACGCGCCGAGTAACTTCTGGTGAGTTTACAAGTTCTTCAAGGTCTCTGCTGTATGTTTCATGATGTTTTTCCCCGTGCATTCCCAGCGCCATTGGTAGAGTCTGAGGCACTTCCACAAACTGACGTTCCGTTTGTTCTTTTTTTTGGGAAGGTAAACTGTCAGGAATTGCCTTTTTAGCCCCTTTCCAGAAACCATCAATATTTCCTGTGTGGATCTTTGTCCAGCCTCGCGTAGGAAGTCTTTTGTTACGACTAAATATGCCTTTGCTATGGCTGCAAGCACGATGCAGCAAGGACTTCTTTCGGGCCAGTTTTGGGTAACAACGAGCCCCATCACTGATCAGCAGTGTTTTCAAACCCTTGTGGTTCTTGCCCTTGATTCCTGACAATCCATCTGCTTGATCTGCTTGGAGGATTCTCTTTTGACCTTCAGGAGGTGGTTTGCCATAAGCTTTGGCTGCACAAAGTGGCAGTTCGAACATGTTGACGACCCTGCGCTGTTGACCCGCACGAGGACGTTGAAGCACTGCAAAGATTTGGTAGTAGATGTTGTTGCTGGATTTTGTATCCTTCCACTTGCGAATGCTAGTTGCATCTGCTTCTAGATCTCCTGGACACGTGTAGCGTGTGGCACCGCATCCGTATAGCACGCAATGACATGGACGCTATTGCCCCACCCCACCCCACCCCACCCCAACGTAACAGCAACCCAGACGAAAGGTGTTTTGTGGGACGGTAATGAGCCCGCTGGCAAAAACAAGAACCCCACACAAAGATATGGGGAAAAAAAGAACACATATATTACCATAATCATCATTGAATAGAGACGGGACTATTATACATATCATTACATATCTCTTATGTCTGCTTCAAGCTCTTCTCTGTCAGCCCCTTCTGGATCTTCTGGTACCACCAGGTATCAAGCAGTGGATGCATATGGAAACGCTGTGAAATGCGGAGATCCATGAAATGAAAAAAACATTCAAAGAAACGGTAGTTAGTTCCTTTTTTCAAAGTGCGTTTTCCTTTGTTCCATGGTCATGGGCAACTCTGGTCCCAGAAGCAGTAATGACAACCGGCACCGCTTCTTCTGCAGCTTGCAGCTCGAGTGTGAGCAAAAACCTGGCCGAAAAATCTCTTGAACTCGTCTGACTTCCAATCCACACAGCGCACAAGTGGATACAAGGGGATACAAATGGCAATACAAATGCTACAGCAATGAATGGCTACCTGTAATCTACAAGAAACGCCTCTGAAATCTAATTATATCGAAATCTTTCGAAATCATGGTAATTAATGGCTACCTGCTATGTATAGATTATATATATATAGAGATATATATATATATAATGGCTATCTGTTATATAATAGTAATTAATGGTACTTGCAGACACTGCACAAGTTGGACAAGCATTGAAGCCAAGCCGCATGGCCACGTGCCATCGCTTTACCATTGCCATAGCCATGGCTTGGCTGAGCAAACTGAAATTTGCTCAGCTAACAGCACAACATAGAACAATGCCAACATATGCCAACAGTCAACCAGGAATATATATATATATATGTGTGTGTATGAAACATGTGAACATATACAAACATATCATCTAGATATACCTAGATTCATCTACCAAAGACAGGAACTTCACATGTTTTGTAAAGGCCGAAAGGAAACATTGGAAAGGGTGGCTGCATGAATGACTTTTGTTGGTATTGCTTCTCGTCGCTGGAGTCTTGTTCGGCCACGTTTGGTGCGGGCAATTTGTTGCAGCGTGTATCGCGAGATATCGCGAGTCCACTTTACGCACTTTACATTCTACATTATAGATTAGAAAATGGTAAAATATGATAAGATTATATAGTAATTCTATTATATATATCATATATGATATGTCCCATTAATATAAAATTGTCCTTGCAAATGGGAGCCATCCTGAAACTTGGAGCCCGGGGATGCCCCCGGGGATGCCCATCCAGGTGCCCCTCACATGCCGCTCACCCTGACGCGTTCCCTGCGGACCTTCAGAATGCGGAAAGAAAATGCGGAGCTTCAAGATCAATGACATGTCATTGATATGTCATTGATATCTAAATGATATGTGATATGTTTTGATATCTAATATCAACATATATCAAAATGATATAACACCACGTGTGCTCGTACATATGGGGGTCACATTTTAAGCCTCGGGGGACATCAAGGGACCACAGTGTTTACTTTATTGTCAGTACTAACCATCGGAATCTATATAAATATATATATATATAAATCATCTGATTACAGTACCATCTGGTATCATATGCTATCCTGTGATTTCCATGTTTCCATTGACAAAATTGATTTCTCTGCGAAATTCCTGCAAGTTCGCTTCAAAACCAAGGCTTGGACGGCCTCCTGCTATGCGGCAAGAGCCCCGCAGTGGCACCTCAGGTCCATCACTTCGCAGGGCAGCAGCCCGCGGACCCCAGGGCCTCAAGGCTCCTTCATTTCATGTTTGTTTTCACCAGAACCAGTTTCCAAAATGAAAGCTGAATTACTGGAATGAAATTGCGTATGGGCCTTTCTTGAGCTTTCCTGTTTCCTGACTCTTGGCACACGCGAAGATTGAGTTTTGCACTGCGTAGGGGTCAGGAGTCCCTTTCCAGGTCCTCGAATAATGCCCAGGGCCCACGAAGGGCAGTCTCTCAGTAGACGGAATTTCTGGCTTCTCTTGACAAGTATTTCAGTAATGATTTCTCTTTAAACTCTTTCCTTCTGACATCTTCAAGGGCCAAGGGATTTCATGGCAAATTGTCTTCGCAGTTCATGTCACTCTGTCCCGGCCGACTTGCCAGTTTTGCCGTGTTTTGCCAGCGACTTTGGTTCTGCAATATGACATAGTCATCTTTGCCTGTGATCAATGATTCCCTACGGACCCTAATGTGAGGCTCTTCTGCTGATCAGCGACACCGGGGACCGCACTGCCAAACCTTGGGGTCCAGTTCAGGCTGTGCTACCAGCTACCATACATAATATATATATACATACATACATACATACATACATACATACATACATACATACATACATACATACATACATACATACATACATACATACATACATACATACATACATACATACATTACATTACATACATACATACATACATACATACACACACACATATATATATATAATATGTTTTGTTTATCTATAAAATCAAGCTTGTCCCTCGGCTTTGCAACAAAAAAATGCTGGGACTTCGGCAGTTTTAAGACCATCACTGCAGCCAGAGCATTCTGTACACTCCTGCTCCTGGCCACTCGAGGGACAGCGCATTATCAGCATGGCTCCATATACTTTCTTGACGTCCTCAGAGCCCTAGGCATTCACCCCACGGCACACGAACGATTGGGTATTGCATGCTTGAAAAGCAACATGTTTGGCCCCGTGTGGACGACACATGCCGAACAACTGCACAACATCAGTGCCATAGCATGACAGAAGCTGCGCATTCGTGCAACACGCTAAATGGAATGCAAAGGAGGGCACAAAACGCCGGTCGTTTGGCTCGAAAATCAAGTCAAAAAATATCCATATCATTAAAAAAAAAAAACAGTCAAAAAATCCATATCATAAAGTAAACATCATTAAAAAAATCATAAAACAAATCCATATCATAAAACTAAAATCATCCAAATTTGATGGTGAACATTGGCCAAAAAAAGGCCCATGAAGAACTGAAAAAATAATCCCCAGCGGAGCCCACAGCCGTCCGCCAGCTTCGAGCTGCTGGCAGAGGAGTTCAGTTGCCCGGGCCTGTGGCTACCACCCATAAAAAGGGTGACGAATGGTGATGACTTGGGGATTGCTTATGGCGGTTTACCACATGAATGGGAATTGGATGAAATCGGTGATATTTGCTGATATCTGACTTGACTTGATGTACTGAAAACTCAAAACCCGCTCAAATTATCAGCTGTATAGGCTGTATATTACAGATATATTTAATTATTTATATAATATGTATATATATATATATCAAATATATTACAATACACTGCATACTGTGTGTCAAGTCTCTCTCTCTCTCTCTCTGGAATCAGCTGACTTGCAGTAGCCTGTAATTCTGCCCTGACCTCCCACCAAATATAATATATAAATATATATAATGATATTAGTTCGCTCGAGGTTTTTCGCACATCATGTCTGGTTGTTTCGCATGTACACGGCTCCGTTCAGGATAGCACTGCCGGGGACCTTTGCCCGAGGCAAGCAAAACCCAGGGATTGGGTCAGCTGTGTTCTCTTCTTATGAAAGTGACATTCAGCACCAAGGCAGATTTGCATGCTGCAACCATTCCAGTGTCCAGCGTGGCACCGTTCACCTCCACGATTACATCATTCACCTGCATCCCTGGAAGCCCTTGCTGTTTGGCCATGACATTTGCTCGATCTACAGCTCCACCCCGACGTATAGCCAGCACAACAAGTCGTCCAAGTCTGTGCTTTACGTCCATGCCCAGTTGGTCATTCTGCTCCGTTTTATGTATACTGATCTGGTAACGCTTCTGCGTTGCCTCCAGAAAACGCTCATCGTGGACACCGTCGTTGGCAGAGACTGAGTAGGCTGTGACCTCTATGCCTTCATCCTTGGCAGCACAGCAGCATGCCGCTGCGGCACCACCCATGGTGATAGAACTGGTGCGCTTGTGGCAACATCCAAGACTGAGCCAAAATAGTTGCGTTCCAATCGTTACACCACTTGTGATTCAGGCAGGACATAAATAATAAGTAATAAGAAGACAAATAAATAGCAAGAAATTGCGATTGCAGTTTGCAGATTTGACTTTGGGCAACCTTCGTCGCACGTTCTAAAAACAGTTGAAAGCAAATTCACTAGATGGATCTAGATGGCAAGTTGCATTAAGTTTCTGTAATATGCTGTAATACGTCCTCCGCTGTCCACCAAGAGCACGACCAGCAAATGTTCTGGATGATGTCATGGCCTCATGATTTGGCACGGGAGCTTTTGGTTGCGAGTGGCTACGCCATGCTACGCCATGCTACGCCATGCTACGCCATGCTACGCCATGCTACGTACGCTTGCCAGCAACCAAGGCACTGTAAAGCCACCGGTCAGTATGTCGTTGCAGCACCTGACACGATATGACGCTTGTGGCATGGCATCTCCAACTGCCCTTGTGTGCCTGTGTCACCTGTGTCCGCGTGCCGAGATGTGCTGAGTTACGGTCATCTGCAACGCGCTCCAATTTCTCTGAGTCGAACAGCGAGCGCTTTCTCTCACAATTCGAGATGACAGTAGCGATGGCACCAGTTTCCACTTGCCAGCTATCCTTATCTTGGCGAAGTTTTCACTCGATATCTGAGCTCTAAAACCAATGGAGCCGAGAACTTCAGTAGGGAAATTTCGGAAAGGAAAAGGTGTTGGATCATCCGCAGATGGGAGAGCTTTCAATTGCCAAGCAACTCACAGGCATGCACCAAGAGCTCATAGGAGAGCATGTCGGGCACAATGCCTCACAAGACATAGAAGCGTCTTTCATAAGTCTCGTTTAGAATCTGGACATGTATAGACATGCTTTAATTTATTTCCACTTGCGAAAGATCTGCAAGGTCAATGTATATCAATAGTTTACCATGCATTGCAGCCGTTGAAAGCTCAGTCTGATATCTTTCAATTTTACAACGGGGCACGCTCTTCCATCATGGTTTGCAACAGCACCAAAGCCTTTTGCAGCTGCCCGGCTTGAAGGCAGCAGTACAGGACGCCGTTGTGACCTCTGTTGGGCTGTTGGATGCTGTTGGCTGTTCAATCTGTGCGATCTGTTCGTGTGGTTTCTTCTCTGCACTTTATGATAGTGTTCCAAGCCCCAGGCTGATGACGTCTTTCCCTACACCCTTAAGTAATGCAATGGACACTCGCCACTGCGAACGGTCGCCAGCCATTTCGCATGCATTGAGGGCACCTCAGGCTCGGCCCACACCACTTTGCAACATGTTGTGGTTAAAACATGTTAAAACACTATAAGACACTCAAAATCCCGCTAAGGTTCAAGAGCGGCTGAAGATGACTTTGCCAGCTGCTCAACCGTCTCATATCTCTCCCACTTGAAGTTCTGAAATACGTGTAAAGTCTGTAAAGTTGAAAGCACCTATTTATATCCTATTTATACATATTTGCCATTATTTTGTAACTCCATACCTGAAGCATCAGCCCAACCCACACCTCGTAGGGTCAGAATGTTCATCTTCACTTGAGTCAGAGCCATGGTCTCCAGCAAGCCCAAGGCTTTCCACCATAGTGGCACCTGATCTTTCAGCTCACAGGAGGCTACTGCGCAGCTGAAACCTTGACGCGAAGGCAGGGAAGGTGAAACATCTTGGGGAACATGGTGGTTTAACATGGTTTACCCTCTGGAAATTTAACATAGCTATTGAACATGGCCCATCTATAGTGGATTTACATGGATTTACCTATTATAAACGATGATTTTCCATAGCTATGTTAGTTTACCAGAGGGTAACCATTGTTTAAATGCTGGTGTCACCAGACGCCGAGGCGCTGATCACATCCGCCCGAATCGCCTCAGCAGGACGCCAGATGTCGCTAAATGGATCTATAAAAATAACATATATCTGTCTATTATATATAATATATATATATATATAATATCTATCTATCTATCTATCTATCTATCTATCTATTTGTAATATATAACTATATTATATATATATTATACATAATATAAAAATATAAACAGGGGATTGGGACAAGGGGCTGTTTGCATCATCCAGTGCAGTGTTCGGAAGGCCAGCGGCCAAGCGAACGGCCGCTTCACCTCTGTGCCACCTCAGCGGCCCGTGTTTGTTACAGTTTGCCATGGAAAATCACCATTTTTAATACGTAAACCATCTATTTCTATAAGCCATTATCCATGGCTATGTTAAATAACCAGATGGTAAGCAAACTGTTGAAAAGTAAATGCATGAGTTGATGCTAGGCCGCTAGGCATGATCAACGCATCTGTGGCTCAGACTGCGAAGTGCTTCAGAAATAAATAGATGTGTTTTTCTTTAATCCATTTATATCACAGGACATTTCATGTAATGGTGCATACTATATGATACTGTATCTGTAATCCATTTGTATCTAGTGCATCAGTGCATCTATGTGCATCTGTATCAAACAGCTGACATCCATTGACATCCCACCCGCCTCCATGCCGAACTGCCTGACGTCTCAATGGACTTGGTGCAATGGCATCCAGCTGCGCATTGAGGCAAATGTCATCCACGCGAAGCAGCCCCTGTGATCCGTGGTGCTATGTGTCAAAATTCAGACTGAATTAGGATGGAAAATTCTGGAAAGATCTAAACACCAAACACTACGGTCCGCATGGCTTTTCAATGTTTGACCCATCCCCATTTTCAGCAAATTTCAGTGACGAGTTCGCCTTGCGCATGCGCTTCAGCAGTTGCAGCGCTCTTCCCCACGCAGTGCAAGCGCTGATGCAGCCGCTGAAAGTCACCGCATTGGGCCTGCGACCCCTACTGAAGCCAACCATCTTGGTGCAGGCCTCCAGTGACATGCTGGCAGATACCATTAATATACAGCTTTAGGTACATCTCCAAATTTAAATGCCCATTTTTTATACCTTCATAATACATTTAAAATCATTTAAATACACTTGTCAATCATGAATCAGGGCACCCAAAAAAAGCCGCCATATGCCGCCATGGAGAATTGGTCAGGCCAGGTGCCCCCCTTGTGCCTGAAGCCCGTGATTTTCATCTGTTGGAGCAAGTGATGTGCCACGTTCCACTCACCAGCTTTTTCCTGCAGAACCAACAGATCTCAATGGAGGAATTTTCATCTGATTCTGTTGAGGAATCACAGTCACAGAATGTCAGAGAATTTTGATTCAGTAACTCCGAGTTTGTTCACTGATAGCCACTGTCTTTGATAACTGACGAAATGCCAGCTCCAGCCCAAGCTTTCTTTCCACACAATGTCGTCAACCATGCATATTGAGTCACGGTATCTTCGCAGGAGCTGATAGTAGCACTCCATGACAGCAGATTGGGTTGCGGTCCGGCCTGGGAAGCTGCATCCTATCGCGGTGCTTCTACATTTGCGCAAGGGACAGGCCATGCCCTTGGGTAATGCGCATGAAAAAACGAGAGTCCCCAATCTCACCTATGCCTGTATACTAATTATCCGCTGTGACCCAATGCATAGCGTGTGGCATAGACTGATAATCTGACATGTCAATATGTATATATAATATAATATATCTAATATACACACATATATATATATAATAAAAATATATACATATAATCATAATATATATATATATATATATACATATTATATCAATGGAATGGACATGATATGCATAATCACAGCGTGTTACCCGTAAATGTTTTGAGGTTGTCAGCATCAACTGCATGGACCAATTTGGCGAAGCAGCCTGCCCCATACGCTGCAAAAGCTGCAATGCCGCACTCCAAGCACCCGCGGTGCTGGCAGAACTCAGGCTTGATGTATATGTGATGACGTTGCCGCGGATCTCAGAAAGACAGCTTTGGATTTTCTCTCCCTTAATGCATGTCATCGCAGTTCAAACAGCTCTACGATGTTCTAATGTTACGGCCACACGTCATCGTTTGCCCGTGTCCCGAACTGGTTTCCGTCTCCTCCTCATCATCATCATCACCACCACCATCATCATCATCATCATCATCACCATCATCATCATCATCGTCATCGTCATTGCCATCCTCATTATCATCATCACCATCATCACCATCATCCCCCTGACCCCCCCACTCTAAATGGTGCAAAGTAGATATATTTTCAAATGTTGTAAGAAGTCTATCATCGTAACAAGTAACAAGTGTCATGGTGCCCGTGTGCTGATCCGCGTCAGTGCCCTCGACACCTGCACATCTTACTACATTTACATGTGGATATAGGAGTGAACGTGCCCATACATACGTTTTTTTACACATGCGCAAAGACACCACATTGTCTATAAGGGCAAACGACTGTGTCTGCGCGTAATGTTAGCAAAACCACAATAAACCATCCATAGATGGTTTATGTATACATGTTTTAGATTGTTTTAACATGTTGATAACACCCATTGATGGTAAATTTGGGGATGCTTTGCTACTACTGTACTCATTGTAATATATAAATTACCATCTGGTTATTTGACATAGCCATGGAAAATCCTTTATTTAACATATGTTCCATGGCTATGTTAAATAACCAAATGGTATATCAGCGCGTTTTCCTGGGGTCTTCCGTCCCAAACACCAAGCGACTTCAAGGGATCCCATCGTTTCAAGCAGCGCCAAAGCTTTGTGCCACAAGCCTTGGGTCCTTACGAGCCGATCCAATGGGATCTATGAGGGGAACAAAAAACTGGACCCCGAAATCAGCCAATCTTGATATACTATTGATATATATATATATACTCATATTAGTATGATTATTATGACTATGTACTATTAATTCATATTAATTCTTAAATAAAATATGAATATAGTATTTTTCAGGAGGAAACAAATGGTTTAAATAGGACAGCACCCCAGTAAACTTGTCCAGCGCCAAGCCGCTCGCAGCTGTGAATGGCAGCTCCGAAGTGGAAGTCATTTCGTTGCAGCCGCATCGTCGCCACTGCCTCCAACAGCTTCACGCAAACGCCAGGGCTGTTGGCCTGCGATGTCTGATGATGTCTGGATATGTCTGGATAAGCTTTTGGTTGGAGAAAGACAGAAACCATCAGAAACTAATGAAAATGCGGTGAAAATGCTATGAAAATAAATGCTACTGTATGAAATACTAACTAGTAATAATCTAGTTACTACTTGACTTACTACAGTATCTACGAACAACGCAAGTGCAGACACAAAAAACTGAATGGACAATATCCCCGCCTTGGCTAAGGTTGTCAATGTGCTGGTGACAGCTGCAGGATGATCCCTCCAACCCCGGATGAAGTGATCTTTAGATCCGGCGTCGTGCTTGGTAAAGCTCTCCTGGATGTTGTCAGCTGTGATGGGATGAAAGCTGATACGACATGACTTCTCCTAGACTCAGACGTGCATAGAAGTGCGCTCAAGGGGCTTGTCAAGTCTGATATCTTGACCAAAAATGACCAAAGGGTGAGCAAGAAAGAAAGAAGACTGCCACTGCCAAGACTGCCGACGAAGGTTCTCACGAATTTCTGGTCTCTATCAGCTACTTACGGTTCACATTCCTCCCTGTAGATGAAGGCACCGTGGTCAATCCAGAAGAGATTTTCAATACACCCCGCTATGGTCACTGTGGGTGATGAGTCCACAAACAGCACAAACTAGTACAAACTACACAGCACTGAATCAGCACTGCATCTTTGGGCCCTGAACGTCAGCCTCTGCGAGGACAACCAGTTGAAGAGCTCTCTGCCAAAATCCTGCAGAAGAGGCCATGGCACTCGCCAAGATTACAATGTTGCAAAGAACCTTGGTCGGCGCCGTTGACAAGTGTAAGGGCAGGGTAACATCATTCGACCTCTGATTTTTTGCGGCTGGGATATGCAAGCCGAAAGACGTCTTGTTGCGCCATGTGAGAGAGGAGCTGCAAAGAGGAATGCCAAAGACTTTTCTTCCTTGGTCAACTCGGACTTTCACTGTGGGCGCAAAACGCAACGAAGTCACTGGAAAAGTCTCTGTTGCCCCAAATATCTGAAGGGAAGCCGTGTGTGCAGCCGTTCAAGCTATGCTAGCTATGCCAGCTATGCATCTCCAAGGAGTGAAGGACTCTCCCGTAGTGAATCACATTCAATCTGACGTGGCCCCTGGAGAAGGCCTTCAGCTGGAGGTTGATGTCATTCGCAGCACTTTGAGACAATGCTCTGTCCTGGAAGTGCTTCCATGAATCCGACAAGCATAGCACGGCCTTCTGTCTTATGAAGTGCTCCTTCTCCTCCTCCTCCTCCTTCTTCTTCTTCTTCTCCTACTCCTTCTCTCTCTCTCTCTCTCTCTCTCTCTCTCCCCCCCTCTCTCTCATACAGTATGGGTTTGTCTGAGAATAGGGTACCTCCCGAGGTTGATGCTTGATCATCATTTTCCCCTCAAAATTGCCCATTTGGCGGCATCCCCCACTTTTCGGCACACCCACGCCAATGTACATCAGTATGTAAGCGTGTCCATTGCGTACCAACTTCACCTTGCAATGCCCAACTCGGGTCTCCCCCTCCTCCTCCATGTGCTGCGTTGGCACCAAGCAGAGGTTGTGCCATGCCATGTGTCCGGATGCAAGCCCACATGAGGCTCCTTCTTTTGACCCAGGGTGTTGCAGTTAGATCTTCTGCTTTAACGACATCTGTGAGCAGTCACGAGTGGCAAAACTTCTTAAATGTAGTGAATGGAATGAAAGAACCCAGATATATATATATATATTATACATACATAGGCTCTCATCTTGTTTCTTTTCTCCATCTCCACTACAGCTCTCAACTTATGATCTTCTGATCTGTCAGTTTCAGTCCTGTCTCGCAATGGAAGATGCATGGCTTCAAGTGGCAGTTGAAGCAAAGCTCCAGGATACATGGCCAAAGAATCGTGGCAAGCCACCACTGGAGACAAGAAATGTCTGCTGTGAAATCGTCAAGGAAATGCTTTGCACAGTTTTTAAATATATAAAACACAATACAATGAAATATCATATAAGTATACAATATTAATCACATGTAGCACCACTAGATTTGGGGAGCAGTTGAAAACCACAATGAGATATGTATGCACATAAAAAAGCACACAGTTAATAAGTTATATGCCACATATATGGCATAGAGACCCCAGCGCATCTCCAAAGGTTCACCGACAACTTTTCCGTCGGACACGCTGCTTTTAGCCATTGCGGAGCGGAAAAGCAGGCGATCTGAAAACAGGCGTCGGCACGAGGGAACAAACAGCGAAGCCACCAAGACCCATCAATTGAAATAGAATAGGACCTATATAATTATATAGGAAAATCATTTTGGAAAATCATGTTAATTTGGGGGATGGTTTATTATTGTATTACCAACATTACTGAGGATTAACCAATAGATCTGGTGACCCCCCATTTCATGATCAACCCACTGAAGCAGTGCCGCGGCACATACGAGCTCCGCAGGGTGTATTCGTCCACATCCACACTGACCTGGAGCTGCATGGCTCAGCCGAGCCCCCTAAAAACTAAGTGGCAGTGATACCCTGGGGTAATCATGGGTAAAGTAAGATAGATGCTAGAAAATCCACCAATCAACCATTTTGATGTAAATATAACTTTCCGAAGGGAAACCATTGGTTTTCCACATCTATGTCAGTTTACCTTAGGGTATTAGGTGATTGCTCAGCATCCAACATCCTCGAAGTTGACGTCAATAATTGCCTGGACTGCGAGATGTTAAGCACTGGACTGTCTTAATAGTGCACATGATTGATTCATGGCGCGCACCAGCAGTGCAAATTTATATCAGCTGAGCATATTGAATGTTGAATTTGAGATACACCTGCCCTATATATCCTGAACAAGTGTTTATGCATGCATACATACATACATACCAACGTACCAACATACCAGCATACCAACATACATACATACTTTACTTTACTTTACTTTACATTACATTACATTACATTACATACATACCATAACATACATAACATACATACCATACATACCATGCATACCATGCATACCATGCATACCATGCATACCATGCATACCATGCATACCATGCATACCATGCATACCATGCATACCATGCATACCATGCATACCATGCATACCATACATGCCATGCATACCATGCATACCATACATACCATACATACCATACATACCACACATACCATACATACCAGACATACCAGACATACCATACATACCAGACATACCATACATACCATACACACCATGCATACCATACATACCATGCATACCATGCATACCATACATACTATACATACCATACATACCATACATACCATACATACCGTACATACGATACATACATGCATGCATGCATGCATGCATGCATGCAGACATGCAGACATGCATACATGCATACATTGCATACATTGCATACATTGCATACACAACATACATTACATACATTACAAACGTTACATACATTCCATGCATTACATACATTACATACCTTACATACATTACATGCATTACATGCATTACATGCATTACATGCGTTACATACAAAACATACATAACATACACAACATACATAACATACAGAACATACAAAACATACAAAACATACAAACATACATAGCATACAAGGCATACATAACATACACAACATACACAACATACATAACATACATAACATACATAACATACATAACAAACATAACATACATACCATACATACCATTTATACCGTACATGCCATACATACCATTCATACATCCATACATACATACATACTTACTTACATACTTACCTACATACATACATACATTACATTACATTACATTACATTACATAACATAACTAACAAAACTTAACATAACATAACATACCATTACATAACATAACATGACATTATATTACATTACATTACATTACACTACATTACATTACATTACATACATATATATATATATATGTGTGTGTATGTGTGTATATATATATATCACACACACATATATATCTCTCTCTCTCGTGAGTATATATTTACATATGATTGTTATACGTACAAGTAACAAGTATAAATATATATGATCCTGATCGCATACATCGAATATGCACTTTTTCATTCCTTCGGGTGTCGACGGAAAAAAGAAACTTAGAATATTTGGGGTGGAAATATTTTGGGTTGGATTTTGGAGCGCGCAACCAGAACCAGAGCAAATATCATAGGAACAGGCGGCTGCAGCAATCCATGTCTCTGGGAAAACATTTTCCGGAATCGAAAAATCAGATTCTTACCAGTAGTACCGCACGAGGCGGTGGCAGAAGTTTCAAGGCATTGGAAACCTGTAGGACCTATAGGAGAGGTTGCTTGCTGTGAATCAGGATGAATCAGGGATGGCAGAGCGAACCCACTGATGGACCGAAAGGTGGTTGAAGTTGTGTTTTTTGGAGCGGTTGCAATTGTTGCAGTGGTCACCTCACCTGCTGAATGTAGTGAGTGTGGCGTAGCATGGCGTAGCGCTACACAACGTAGTGTAACTAGTGTAGCGCAGTTGCAACTGCAGTTGCAGTTGCAGTTGTGGTGTAATTAGTGTAGCGTAGTGTACTGTAGTGTTGTGTACTGTAGTTTGGTATAGTGTAGTGTAGTGCAAAGTAGTGTAGTTGTAGTTGTCGTGTAGTGTAATGTACTTGGTGCCGTGTACTGTAGTGTCATGTAGTGGTAGTTGCGGTTGTAGTTGCAGCTGTAGTTGTAGTTGTAGCTGTAGTGTAATGTAGTCTAGCGTAGTGTAGTGTAGTGTTGTGTAATGTAGCGTAGTTGTATTTGTAGCTGTAGCGCGCTGCAGTGTAATTAGCGTAGCCTAGTGTAATGTAGTGTAATTAGTTGTAATTGTAATTGTAGCTGTGGTAGTAGTTGCTGTTGTAGTTGTAGCTGTCGTGTAATTACTGTAGTGTAGTGTAATTAGATGTAATTAGCGTAGTGTAATGTGATTAGTGTAGCGTAATGTAGCGTAATGCAGCGTATATTTGTATTTCTAGTTGTGGTAGCAGCGTAGCGCAGTCGTAGTTGTAATTAGTTGTAATTGTAGTTGTATTTGTCTATCTAGCTATCTGTCTATCTGCAATTTTTGAACTTGACAACGTCAAAAACGATGCTATTCTGCGAGACCTGTTCAATGTTCGAAGTTGACAACATCAAAAACGAAGCAATTCTGCGAGACTTCCTTCAAAAATGGAAAGTTGAGTGCAGAGCTGACGGCCTCGTACAAATGCGTTTTGCGATTGTTCCATTCCATCTGTCTAAAGTACTGCGCCTGCCACGAAAAGTGAAGCCAGGTCATACGATGTGCTCCACCTGTCACGCAAAATCATCTTAGCAAACCTGAGGATCCGATGCTCCAAAATGCAACCTCTCTCAGGAAATTAGCGCCCTGACCTCCTAACATATCTAACTCGTGTGTCTCTTGTACTGCGCCTGCCATCAAAAAACATCTTTGCAGATACTCTTCAAATGTCCCCACCTGCCACTGTTTTTGAAATGCTACAAAAGTAACCCTCACGTTTTGCGCCCTTTTGACAAGGTGCACAATCCCTTGCGCCTGCCACGCAAAACGGCATCTGAACGTCCAAAAGCCTCCGTGTCCTTCAATTTTTTGCATGTGTGACTTCGACATGTGCTTCGCGCCACAACGGCGTGCGCTTTTTAGTGCTTTTTCGACATCTCAACTTCCAAAAGTGGTCCGACACTGAAGTGCTTTGCGCATTTTGACTTCGAAATGTGCTTCGCGCCACAACGGCGTGCACTTTTTCAACAGGTCAACTTCCAAAAGCGGTCCGACACTGAGGTGTTTTATGCATTTTGACTTGGGAATGTGCTTCGCGCCACAACGGTGTGCACTTTTTCGACATGTCAACTTCCAAAGTGGTCCGAGCATGAAGTTTTTTGTACATTTTGAGTTGAACATGTTCTTCGCACCATCCGCCGTGCACTTTTTCATCTCTCATCTGGCCAGATGGCTCCACGGTTTTTCCCGATTTCGGAAGATACTTTTATTCTAAGATATTCTGATTACTAAGTAACGTTTTTTCTCGGATTCTGGAAGATGCTTTTTGAGGCCGAGATTATCGATTCTATATTCTATCAACTTGTGCTTACGTGGTGGTTTGGGTTGGTGGTTTGGAAGTCTGGGAATTGATGGTTTTGTAAACTTAGAAAAAACAAAAAAATATCAAACCCTGCAAACAATGAAGTCGTTGAAAATAAAGAAAACAAATTTAAAACAACGATGATTGCTACCAGATTAGGTTTGTTTTTGAATTGATATTCATCTTGTATCTCGGAAATGTACACTTATTTAATGTCCAATAATTTCACGTGATTGTTTAATTGATTATTGAATTCTAGTGCATTTTTCTGTACTTGTCTATTTATTTTTGAAATGGGGGAAAGACAGTTTCTTGAAACCGTGTGGTCCTATCCTGTACTCTGACTGATGCAGGTTTCATGGATTTTCCATGGAGCTTCCATGCAGGTTTCATGTTGGTTACATGCTGGGTTTGCAAATTTAGCTTACTGGTGGGTAACCTCCATGACAACTCCCTCGAACCTGCATGGAATCTGCATGGAACCTCCATGGAACCTGCATCAGTCAGAGTGCATGATAAAACCAACAAGTGTAGATAGAGGCATCACCTCCATAACGCACATGGAAACTGCATGAAATCTACATCAATTCTCCATGGAACCTGCATGGAACCTCCATGAAAACTGCATCAGTTAGAAGGCGCCATGCAACCATCACGTTTAGACATTTAGACACAAGAAACAACGGTTACCTACATGAAACCTCCATGAAACCTACATCAATTCTCCATGGAACCTGCGTGGATACTCCATCAAGGAAGACGCCATACAATCATCAGGTGTAGATACAGGGAACATGTTCGAGATTTTTTTAATGGAAACTACGTGGAAACCATCAGACGCTTTGATGCAAATCGATCGCAAATCGATCGTAACTAAATTGA